GGAGGTCGCGGCGTTGGTGGTGGTCGTGGTGCTGGCCGTGGAGGTGGTCGCGGAGCTGGTGGTCGTGGCCGTGGTGGTGGTCGTGGTGGTGGACGCGGTGGCATGGCTGGTGGTGCCAAAGTTGTCGTAGAGCCCCATCGTCACGCCGGAATCTTTATCGCTCGTGGTAAAGAAGACGCTCTAGTGACGCTCAATTCAACCCCTGGAAAGTCTGTGTACGGCGAAAAGCGCATTTCAGTAGATATTCCGTCTGCTTCAGGTGAAGGAACTGAGAAAGTGGAGTACCGTGTATGGAACCCGTTCCGCTCGAAGATTGCTGCTGCCATCCTTGGCGGTGTGGACAATATTTGGATTCAGCCTGGCGCAAAAGTGCTGTACCTTGGTGGTGCCTCCGGTACTACGGTATCGCATGTATCTGACATCGTTGGACCTTCAGGTGCTGTGTATGCTGTTGAGTTTTCTCACCGTGTTGGCCGCGATCTCATCAACATGGCCAAGTCTCGTACCAACGTTGTTCCAATCATCGAGGATGCCCGCCATCCGCTCAAGTACCGTATGCTTGTACCTATGGTCGACGTCGTTTTTGCTGACGTCGCACAGCCTGACCAAGCACGTATAGTGGCTCTCAACGCCTCGCATTTTTTGAGAAATGGTGGTCACTTCGTTATTTCTATAAAGGCTAGTTGTATAGATTCAACAGCCCCTCCTGAAGCCGTCTTCGCCCGTGAAGTGAAGAAGCTACAACAGGAGCAGTTCAAGCCCGCTGAGCAACTTACTCTAGAACCGTATGAGCGTGATCACGCTGTCGTGGTTGGGTCCTACCGTGTGCCCAAGAAGGAGAAAAAGTAGAATTTTAGAGAAGGCCTCTTTCTAACTATGCAATGTGTTTGTATGCCATTTTTTGTTGTAGGTCCTTGTCTGGGATTGTGAAGTCACCTCTTTTAAGTTTTCAGTCGAGGTTTCGCAGGAAGATTCCATTAGATTTATTCTCAAGTTACTTGAGAAGATGATGTGTGTTTGCATGTGATTGGGGCGATTTGTATGGGAGACTTGCTAAAAAGCGACTTCCATATTTCTCGATGATTAGAAATTTTGCGTCGGGCGGACTGAACAAAGTGTATCATATCGCTCCTAACCGCTGCAAAGCGGGGACTAGGAAGGATGTTTTACTCTTTTGTGATCGAAAGACGTCGATTTCCCTCATGTGGGGTGGATGAGAGAAAAGTATGTTGTTATTGTATTTTTGCATGTTCGTATGGGAAACGCTATATTAGGGTGAAGAGTGCGACAAGAGGATGGCCGACGCAATTCGGGCAAGGACCTGTTTTCCCTTCTATTCTTAAACTAACTCTTGTTGATATCATAGTTTCAATGAGATAATACTTTCATTTTATTATAGCTTACATTATCTCTCATTACACATTTCAATCTTTGTAAAAGTCGATTCAAATACCAAGCCATTCGTGTTTCTTGCATATTCAGCTTTTATTGGACTTTGCCAATCACACAATGGTATAGTTGCACTTAAACAAGTCAGTACGTGGCTAAATTGTACATTCAATCAGGTTTTACTATATAGATTGGAAAACCTATAGAGTTAGCAATAGGCGGCTTAACCGAGAATTACAATTTACATTTTAAACGGAAGAGCTAATTAGCGTGGGTTAAGATTGCACTTACTCTTGGAGTTAGCGGATTGCGATCCGCTTCACTCGTACTGGTTCTAAGTATAAAGGAAGGTCGCCGACCTTAACTAAGCTTCATCTGAGCGAAAGAGCTACGGCAGCCTCGCTGCAATAACAGAACATAAAAAATAAGTTTTGTTTGTAAATCACAGCCAGCGAAAAAAAAGTTATTTGTTAGCGCGCAACACTGTCATGCAATATGCTAGTAGATCGGCAATACAGAATAAAAACGCTTGATAAGAGCTTGCTATGTACATTGGGGTCGCCGTGCACTTCGCGCAGATGAAGCTTAGACAGTCAGAGTCCGCTTAAGAAAGCTCATAGGGGCCGGAATCATGTGCTCCTACCAAGAGCGGAGCCAAGAGGCTCTCATCAACTAAAGTCATTACTTTGCACTGATAATTAAGGTGTACAAATCTCTAGAATTGATTAATTATATGGACAAATACTCAATAATCATGTTTTACTGCTTTTCATAATAAAGCTATGTTATATTTCAAATTTGCGGCCAGCACTTGCTGTTTGCGTTTCGGTAACCTTTATAAAACCATAAATAATCAAAGTTTTATCAAATTCATTTAATGTGAATTTTGTACAATTGTACCATTGTGTAATCAATACAGTATTACGTAATGTGTAACGGTTAACTACACAAATTTTTCGTACTTGTTTTCGTGCATATAACTAAATGCCTCAACGATCCCTACCCAAAGCGCGATTTTCGCGACCGATGCGATTAAAGGAAACTCTTGGTGAAGATGTTGAGGAGGTTTTCAATAAAATAAATTCAAATTATTGTTCGATGTCCATTTAAACACCTGCCCCTCCACCCAGCGAAAAACAGTCTAGCCTTTAAATAGTGATCACTGCGCACAGTGCGCAATGCACGCGTCTCAGATTCCGCGCCCTTTTCTATCAACACCCCCATCATTGAAACTGAAACCACAACAAAATTCAGCTCGTTATTATTATGCCGGGCCTTAATCAAGCAACCCAGCCTACTTTACAGCAATCAGTATAGTCACACCGATTCCTATCCAGATGGCGTCTTGTTTATGCTCTTATCGTCCAATGTATGTTGCTGCGCCAATAAGAAGGCTCTTAAAGCCTTCGCGTGTTGTCTTACCTCTTGCCCCAGAGCAACATGAGCGCGTAAAAGTCACTGTGCTAGCGCTTTTCCAGCCCGCAAATCAGCACCTGCTAGATGTATAGTATGAAGGAAATGTCTAAGACCTTCAGTCAAGATGAATCTTAGATTCTAGAAGTCCATAGAGAACAAGACTTACTTTTTGCGTTTTGAGTGATGAAAATTTTTCGTTTCTTCGATACTAGCATTACCATTAGCGCTGCGAAGTCAAGCATGAGACGATGCATTCGACGCATTCATCGAGGCGACAATCTCAATTTTCTGCTACTGACAGCTCCACTTGTCGCCAAGGGGCTTCGGCAAATGCTACCGAATATTTTTTATCACAACATATCCCACGTTTGGGAAGCACGCTGCGACGGGTGACCCCCGTCTTTTTCAAAACTGGGCAAAAGCCGAGAGTACACCAGGTCGAAGCGGCAACGGCATTAGGTAAATTTCGCCAAAGTGGAATTTCCAATAGATGTTCGACTCAAAGTTACCCTTCCATTTTACCAGTTCCTGTTAACAGCACTAGTGAATCCGCCAGCCCATCAAACGTAAAAAAGTGAAGGGCACATAGGAAGTGCCAGCGAAGATTGGGTCTCCCGCGACTGGCTCTTGTGTGTATCAGCACAGCAAAGACTGAGATGAGCAAGAGCTCTCGGCTTCGTACATCGCCTTGCTCGAGAAACCCCCCGAGCGGATCGTATTGCTGTCTTGCAGCAGAAGCTAAGTCGACTGTGAAGTTGGTAAAACCATGTTTCCTTTGCAACAAAGCTCGTCGGATACAACCCGCTCGTACGAGCGGGATTGTGACTAAGTAAGGTTGCGCTCGCATTGGAATATTAAAAAATAACCAAATTTATTTTCAATACGATCGCGAGCGGTCCGTTATAGCTCGGTCGCAACTTGGTCTTGATGACCACAGAAGGTAAACTCCATAAATTGCACTCAGTGAGGCTCGTTGTCCCACACCGTATTTGGTGTTTCGAATGCCTCCAGCTGAAGCGATTTGTCTCTTTTTGTGTTGGCTCCCAGCAACATCATCGTCTACACTACACATGACGTTCAATCTCGCCCAGATTGAGTGAAGTTTTGGTAAACATTATTCAAGCTGCTTTGATTACATCGAACGCTTACCACCCGCAATCAGATGGTCAGAGTGCGGACTTGCTCATGTCTTTTCTCTCCCGAAGAAGCTACTTGAGGGGTTTTGTATATTACGCGTAAATCCTTTTGTGCTTTGGATAATCATCATTAGATATCAGTACTTACTGAATGTCATGCGGGTCATTGCGGTGAAACAGCAATCTTGAGATACAGCAAAATGGTGCAGGCGTGCTACCAAGTGATTTTTAAAGGTCAAACTGAGTTTCGAACTTCCAGCTTTCACAGCTTTCGGCACCGCAAAACATACAGCGCAATGACCCGCACGCTGGACACATTGCCTTAGTAATTAGCGCCGTCACCAAAGTAGCATTCGACAATATATGATCTGTGTGGCGCAAAGTACATAAGCTAACACATTAAACCAGCCTTGCTTATACCTTTCCCATAGGTTTACACAGCAAAGAAGGATAGGTGTCATGCAAGGTGGAACTGCAAATACGACGTCGCTGTGCGGGATGACACCTAAGCTGTAAGGATTACAAATGGCTACGAGCCACGCAAGTGCATACTGAACTTACATCATTGTAATTAACCCCTTGTTTTTGACGCAGTAGTTCTTTTCGGCAGCTTTCAGCTGGCAGCGGTCATCCTTTAATGTGTTGGCTCTGCTTGAAGCAAAGGACACTTAAGGAGATTCGACAATGGCTGTGGTATTTCCGCATAATTCCTGCTGTACTTATGTAAGTAGAGGGCGAGGCCAAGCCACTTGCGCAAGTCCTTTTGATTTTTCGGAATTGGCCAGTCCACAATGGCCTTGACCTTAGCTAGGTCCGCTTAAAATCCACGCTTCCCAATAAAGCACCCTGAATGAGTTTTCTTCGGCGCTGAAGATGAATTTGTCTGCATTAGAATACAGCTTATTTATAACGGGTTAACACAAACCCTTGCATGAAAAGGCGGGTCGCTCAAGATGATGTGACCGTACATAGGTGTGATTTACACAAGTTAGTGTATTCACACAGTGGTGTGGCTACACCGTAACAAGAAGTCACCAATTGGCAGGATTGCCAGGAGAAATATATATTACTATGTTTAATTGCTTTTACTATATTAGTCAGGTATTACTATATTAATTCGCAGAACCTAAGTATTTAGAAATTGGCGGCTCTGCCGCAACTAAAACAATTAGATACAGTTAGAATCTTGAACGAAAGGGTTCACTTACCTTGGCTAAGGTTCTCAGTACTCTTGGAGTCCGCTGCTCTCGTACTGGTTCTTGTAAAGAACGTAAGGTTGATGACCTTGGCTTAGCTTCCTCTAAGCAAAGAGCTATTGCAGCCCAGCTGCACTTGGTAGCAGTCGTAGTCAGTCTACGCCTGAGTCGTTACGACTGATTCTCTCTGAGGATGAAGAAATACTCTTATTTGCCCAAGGGCATGCAGGACGGGATTAATAAGCTGATGTCCCTACTGGGCCCTGAGGGCGTAGAGCACCTTGTTGCGCACGGGCCCGAGGCGGCAAGCGCGCGCCAAGAGGCGTTTTAATATCATGAAAATGATCTGTTTAAGCACTTGCAGCATAAACTGTCTGCGTCGTCTGCGTCTATGACACCACCGTCGACGACGGATTATTCTTCCGACCCAGGCTGCTCATAGTGAGCGTTAAGATGTCAAGTGTGTTTGTGCATACGCCCGGTGGGGCCTGAACATATGCGTTACAAACCGATTAAAGTTGCTGGTGCATTTGACAGCCCTAGAGACATCACTAGCCACTCCCAGAGCATGTCGCTCGGCGCTGTTAGTGGAATATCTTTCGCTCTCATGAGCAATTGGAAATACCCATCGACCAAGTCGAGTGCAGTGTACTTTGTACATCCAACCATGTTGTATTGGAGAACATCCGTTCCAGGGATCGGCTCCTGCCGG